GCGTGAATCATCGCAGCTTTAATTAACGCATTATCCCGACTGCGTGCACGTCGCCTTACTCTACAGATCGATCCACACAAGGAGCCTTCGAGGACGCGTGAGGCGCGTATTACGAAGAAAGGAAGAGACGCGGAGAGAGACGGAGAAGGCAAGGCGGAATTCGCGTGGAAACGTCGCGAAGTGCATTAAAGTCTCGTCGGGATGTTCCGGTGGCAAAAACTCGCTCGGGCGAGGACTCGGTTCGTCCGCGCGGCGAATCCGACGGGGAAAACTCCAGCAGCATCGCGGAATCCAGAGCCTCGGGGGCCGAGCAAGACTCTTGCCAAATGGAGTCAACGTTTTCGCCCGTGGCGTCGGCGGTCTCTCGCTCTCCCACGCGCTGCCGGCTGCGTCGAGTGGAAAAGGATAATGGGGTCGGACGGAATGCGGCGCGATAAACAGGTGATTGCGATGCTCCTCGACAAGAAACAGTCGAATCGACACGCCTGGTAAACGGAGGTAATTTTCGATAGACCAGCGCTTAACGCGATACCCAATTCGGCTCTTCAACCTCGTTCTCACCTCTCGCCTGTCGAGCGCCCCTCGAAATCGATCGTGACATAAACTCTAACTACTAACTACCGAATTCTTCGTTATTTTTCAACGTGCATTACTTATCATATCAGCGCATTAGTGCAAAATACAATTATATATATAAGGCAATTTTCTTTGTCTCTCAATTAAATAGTGTGCGACTTCAAAGCTGGCAAGTTAATGAAAGAAAGTTTTTTTTTTTCTAAGTTTCGCCTTATATTTTCCGCCGTCCCTTCATCTCTCTCGTGCTTACGGGAGCGCACGACGGTAAGTTTTCCAAGTACGCGAGGTGTTCTGATGCGCGATTAACGGTACCCGTAACGGGTCGCGAAACAATTTAGACGCTGCAAAGAGGTCAGCCCGGCCCACCTATTATCGTTCCTCCGTCGCGGTGCAGTCTCTGTCGATCTCGAGGTGCTTAATCGGCGCTAAATATGCGAAAGATTAATTCCCCCCGTCGAGATAATGAATAATACCGTCGGCTTGTCAGCTGTAAGCGCGCCGTAAAAACATTGAGTCGAGAAGCAGCAAGAGGAATATGAATTTTCAATCGCCAAGTCTCCGAACGGACGGCGGATGCGAGGAGGATTGTTGAATTTATCGAGTCATGATGATAGCAGTTTCATTAACGGGGACTTGGCGCGGGATCGGTAATGAACTCTGTCAACGCGTACGACGCGATATTACGGTCACGTTGCGCGCTGCGTTTGTGCCGTCCGGGATACCAGCGGTATTATGGCATATTAAACATCGTGAATTGAGACACGATTATAATAACACACATATACGCACGCACGCTCTCGTTGCATTATCTTTCGGCGCAAAATGTCATAGTGACGTTGGAAACGTGGAAACCCAATGCAAACCGCGAGATATTAATCGCCCGTGTCCTCTGGAATATCCCGACGATGTGTCGCGATATAATTGTAATATTCTCGGGCGAAAAGAGCATTCGCGACCTTTCCGACGTACAGATAGATAGATAAAGAGATAGAGAGAGAGAGAGGAAGAGAAAGAAAATGAAAGGGGGAACGCGAAACGCGCGTCGACGAACGAGGCGCGTCAATCCATGCGTGTTATTCGTTGCACTGTCACGCATCTCTGTGCATCGTTTATACCGTCTCGGACTATGAGTCATTAACACGCGCCATTAACTGTTTTATGCATGAATAGCTCGAAAGCGATCGGAAGGCGTCGTCGGCTTTAAACGTTACTGAAGAGCCGCGATCGATTCGATTGAGATTGCACGTCTACAGTGTGAGTCGTTGCGCAACAACACCGTGTCCGTTCTTTGAATTTGTAAAAATAATTTGAAAGACGAATCGATTTTCTACGTTTTTTTCCGCCGCTGCGATGGCACCGTTTATCCTAAAATTATCCTGAATTGCGTCAATTATCACTGAGAGATTGAGTTCGTGACATCATGGAACTGACCTGTGAGCTGTTATCGTGTAGAATAGATTGTGCTACATACAATCTAATCGACTAATGAGTATCCGCTTGCGAAAGTCACGAGAGATAGGGATGTCTTACCGCGACGAAGTCTCTCAATTGACCGCGTGTAATGGACGTCGTAGTTGCACTAATTATTACATAATTGATGATATCGTATGAGATTACAACTCTTCACGATCCGTATTCTCACTGCGCAAATAGGTGCTTTCTTAATGCGAATCGATAAAAATGTTTCTGATTGAATCAGCAAAAGGAGCAATTCGCCGATACTCAGTGAATATTCATTGATTTTTTCCGTGGAAACGCTTTGCTACTTAATCTTATATTTCACTGAATTTGAAATTGCTGCTTAATCTTATATCTCATTGATCTCAATGAAAGTAAGATTCCGCTGCAAAATCTGTAGTACACAAATTCGTTGCACACGCTGTGCCGAATCCAACTTTCTGCGCTTGTATGGCGATAGAATGAAATACATCCTCCATGCGATTTGCGTGCAGTGGCATTGTCTGTGTTTGCAAACTGCATAGATGATGGAAATTGCTACTATTAATTGATTCTTTCAGCGAGATTTTACTGATCGCAGTGTTATACTTGTGACTGAACCACAAGTTACAAGCATAGCATATCAGTGAAGGATACACCGATTGTGCTTTGGAGAGTGTAACAATATCTTGGAGCCGTTCTCTGAATTTTATATTTTGCGACGGCGCATTAAGTAATACCTTCGCCTTCGTGTAAGGAAGATTTATTTATAAGAAGAAAAGTTCGTGTAAAAAAAGAGGTCGGGAACCTCTCGCATGCTCTCGGCTCCATCTCTTATTTATCCGCGCCGACGCTTCCAGAAGCAACAGCGGATTTTTATCGTAGCCTCGGTATCGGGAGGCGATCCGGTCGATCGATAGTCCGGAGTGAACTGTCACTCCGAGAGATACGGGCAGTTAATCGCGCAAAGGAGCCCGCGGGGCGTATCTCGTACAGAGTGTAAGCAGGTCCCGTGCCAAATCCGATTTGGAGTACAATCGACGTGGCCTAAAGAAAGTCCCGGAGACGGATCCTCGGTGAGAGTTATCGCGCGCCGAATGTTGACGAATTACTTTCTAACCAAATGGATGCGTCGATTCTCGCGCCTGTTCATCGCAACTCGTATGAAAAAAGGAGAAAGTTAATATTTGTACGAGAGAAAAACATCAATAGCACAAATTCATATTTCAGTTTTTTTTAAATTACTCTCTTAAAGTAAATCAACAAAAATATTTCTGATTAAATTGGCGAGAAAAATAAAGGAAAATGAATCATTGATTTAATTTTTTTCCCAAATTCCTCCCAACAAGCACGTTCCCGCGCCTGAAATCCCATCCTAAAAAGTCCACGCGACAACCTTTGTATTCGAATGAAGAACGTTATATATTCAATTATTCGCATTTCGATCCGCCTACGTGCCGCGCGACAGCATTAATCCGCAACGGTTGTTATGTCGGTCGTGCGTTTCCACGTCATGCGAAAGCAAGAACTTCGTGGTAGCTGCTGGGACGGGCCTACCGGCTCTGCCCATTATATGTTAAGGAGTTACTTTCAAGCGGCGAGAGTCCCATCGGAACGGTATACTCGTCATCGTCCTCTCCTCCAATAACGCGCGTCCACGTTGGAAATTTCAACTCGGAGATACTACTCGCGACGTGTGTATGTGCGTGTCTCCCTCCTTCTCTACTCTTTCCCTTTCTCTCTCTATCTCTCGCGCGCGCTCGCTCTCTTTCTCTTTGCTTCTCGTTGACGTCATCAGTGAGTACGCGGCAACGGGGATCTGTCGCACTTTTTATGACCAAAACTGCTCTCTTTTCGGCTTAATTTCGAGCACATACGTGGCTCTGATTCATTTTGAGCTGCATCGCGCGTTCATGTTTTTTAAATCATGCTATTACGATTAAAACCAAAATGGTCCGCACGAGTTATTAACATTTACATATACTTAACATTTTTTCGTGGTCCCAATTTTCAACAACTTTTAAAATATTTTCACCGTCGGAATTTTTTTTACCAACTTAGTCTTAGCGACAGAAAGCTGAAATTTCTTTCACGAATGTTGCTTCAAACGATCGAGCACGATGAAATCTTCATCGAGTGATTTTTCACGGGATGATTAGATTGAAAAAAATAATGAAATAATATTCGACAAAATATCAAATTTATGGAAAAAGAACACATTATTAGAGTTATTAGAGACCTATTTTCATTATCAATGTGTGACATCATATCGTTTCATCGCTTTATCGAATTTCTTCACTTACTTTCTCACACGCGACCAAGCTTACGACTTTTCTTACAAACTCTACTGCAAAGAACTATACTAATGGAATATTTTTGTTTCGTCGACTGACGACCACATAAAAATCGCATCTGTTTACCATATATATTAGGTCAATTTTAAGTAATTTTATAAATTTAATGTTTTTTTCTCCCCAGTGTAATTTATGATATCGTCTCTCTTTCTCTGTCTCATATTATCCTCTCGACTCGATTCTTTTTCTACTTCTACAGCTGCCACGCTAATTAGATCATTACGTTCGGAACCGACAAACCCCGCGAATGATTTTTCATGGAAAGTGGTGAAAAAGTGTCGGAAAATGTAGGAAAACGTTTCACGCGGGATATAGCGGGACGAGCTTATCGCAGTTGTCGTCGACGACATTAGCCTAGTTCTTGCCAGCAGCGCGTGACATCATCATCGTCGTCGTGTTCTCCAGGCACATACACGCACGCTTCTCACTTAATCCCGCATACTGCCGGCCGGCCTTCATTACTGAACGCGTTCTCGTTAGCGCAACGCGAACAATCGGCGATGGAAACGTGTATACGTCACTTCGCATGGTCCCCTATGTACTTTGCTTGGAAAAGAGCGATTTAATTGCGGCTTCGCGTCGTTTTACGATCGCGTGTTTCGCTCTTTTCTTTTTCCGCGGGATATCACTGACCTTGAGTCAAACTTGTTTCCATCCTGTAGCGTGCCGGTGTAATGCATGGTCAGCTGGTCGCCCTTCTTCGACCTGGCGTCGCATACCTCAGGAACGTAGAGCTTCTCCACTTTGAGGCCGTTTTCGGCGTGGTCCGCTCTGCCGAGGGCCACGACCGCAACCACGAGGAGAAGCGCGTTACGACACATCGCCAGCACGGCACTCGCGCTCTTCGACGTGTAGGGGGCCATGTTCATCGGTCGGCGGATGCTCGTGAGCGACTGAGTTCTCGCTGCGTTCTACGCCGGCGAGCCGCCTTCGGGCTGCCACCTGCCCCCGCCGCCTCCGTGCGGCGGCGGCGTGGTTGGAACGGAGAGCGGACCAGTCGAGTCAGAAGAGGACGGAGTATCCGTGCCGCCACATTGCGCCGTCTCATTGGCCTCACGGAATATGTAGGTCTCTACCTCGGGAAAGTCGTCTTTCTCTCTCTCCCCCTCTCTCTCTCTCTTACTCGCTCATTCTCTCCTCCTCCTCTTCCCTCCTTCTCTCCGTTCCTCTCGACACCGCTAGCGATTTCTCACTCGACCCTACTCGACTCAGTCGTCTCTCCTCTTCGTTCGTTTCATCCCGTATCGCATTCTCCTGTCTCTCCTCGTGTACCTGCTTCACATCTCCGTCTCCTTCACGGTTGTATTTCGGAGTCGCGCGTCTCTCTCCGACCCGATCCTCTTCTTGTTCTCCCCCCCCCCCCCC